CTACTAGATTTCCACTGTCGTTATACACTAGTTGCAATCGAGTAAAAATCTAATAATCTAGATGAATCGGGCGATACTAGATTTTTTTTTGACGCTTGGGTATCAACGTGAAGAAAAAAATAAAGTTCATGCAGAGTCGGGGAAAAGTGCTTTTTCATATTCAGCACACTTGATAACTCCGAAGACTTTCGATTTTTGGCGAGAGATATTGTCAAAAGTTTACGAAAATTGTTTGAATAAAATATGAAAAGAAAGTCTTGATTCAAAGGCTCTTATTTCGCGATCATAACTGCGATTGCGTTACGCGTACTTGTGACGACTCGTTGCCTTGGATTATATAACACAAGTTTTGCAGCGATTTTTTTGACATTTTAGATTCTTTCAAAAAATACTTAATCAAAAATGAAATCAAGAATTTTTTAAGATTAAAAAGGTTCTATAAAGATCCGAACAGATTTATGATGTTTTGACAAGATGGGTTTTGATTTAGAAAGCAAACTTCTGTCGTCGACTCTGTAGTTGTCTATCACTCAGGGTCAGATTGAAAGTACGTACCAAAAATCTCTGAAAAAGAAATAAACAAATTTAAACAGTTAAAAAAGTCCGAGATTTTTCAATTTGGTTAAAACGCTGTGTTAATAAAAAAGTTAGAGTAGTGCTGCCCTCTAGATGAAAACAATAGACCTATGACGAGTGATAAGAGCTGAAGAATCATTGCTCAAAGCTTTGGACGAACAGTTGTTAGTGGTATCCCACTTGCATTTTCTATCTTCACTGGAGTCAGTTTTATAAAAAAACTTAAGTCAAAAATCGAACTCAAGTCATAAAAGCCAAAGAACTTTTTTGACTTAAGTTTTACTTAAGTGAATTTTTTGACTTAAGTTTTTTATAAAACTGACTCCTGCACTGTAAAAAAAAGTCATGTAAAATCCGTGGCAAAGTCACATTAAAAACGTTGCTTTTTCGGGATATCACACTTTTACCGTTGGCTTCAACTTTTTTAACGTTGAATGAAATGGCTTTATCGTGACATCCGAAAAAAACGTTATTTTCAACGTTTTTGCGTCAACTATTGTAGTCACATTTTTTAATATATATTGAGTATACATTTGAGAAACAGTAATTCCTTGAAAGCCAATTCAAGGCAAAAAATCATGTCAAAGTATGTTACACACGTTCGAACCATCATCAAAAAAGTTTCCAGTAACGATCCTCTATCATTACGGGAGGTTCGATTAAAAAAAGAGACTGAATTTCAGACAACTCTGTGAGTGCTATTAAACAAACGTTAAGTAAGAAAATATTTGGGACTATTTTCGTCTTCTGACCATAGATAATAAAGACAATGTATGAAGTGGCGCTCCTGAAGTTCAGTGGCTTTTAATTGGTAGTTCTCCCAACAGATCATGTCAAGAGACCACGTACCAGTAGCCTGAATTTGAAAAAAAAAGTTCGTCGCCGTATTGAGTAAGATCCGTGAAATATATAATCACGGGGCTTTTCAATCTGGAAGCTGTCAGTTAGCCTTGTGATTACATATTTCACGGACCTTGCTCAATAAGGGAATGAACTTTTGTATGTGATTCAGAGAAAAGCAGGTGAAAACATCACGGACTTTTCTTTTTTCAAATGTACAGTGCTGATGGTTGCCCATTGGCTTGCTGATGGTGCTGATTTTTATTCTAGAAAAGCCTTGTAGAAGAAAGACTTTTTTCTTTCTTGAGCCAGCCATTCGTTCTGAACACCCTTCGCCATAGACATTTAAAAGTTTACAACAGTTATAGATGAGTAATCTAATATTATTATACCTTTAATAAGTGTTTTGACTTGTCATGCAATTAATCCCGGGAAACATTCTTTTTAACAATATCACGCGTCTACAATTGCATACCTCTTAGTTGTACACTTCAAAACAACTCTAAGATTTCAAATTTGACTGCAAATAATAAATTCTATAGAACATTTTTATTTTATTTTTGTTTTTTGTGCATCACGCTACTTTTTATTACTTAGGCCTCGTCTACACTACAAAAGTTAAAGGAGCTTTAAGCAATTCTATTGGCTTAAACTAACTTTTAGCCAATAGAATTGCTTAAAGCCCCGTTAACTTTTGTAGTGTAGACGAGGCCTTATGAGGTAAAATTAACGATAAGACTAGTAATTGGTCCAACGAAAAGCTCAGTCATTTCTCTGCTGAAAAATCTCATTCATTTTTATCATAAATCTGAAACGATTGTCTAATAGATATAATGCAAGAAAAAGGAGAGATCTCTAAACTATTATGTATTGTGTTTTTGATGTTTCAGATTCTTATTATTTAATGTTTACATTGTTATGACATCATCTGACCACCATTGTTGTTCACATGATCATTCTAAACATGACGATAATCACTCCGTCACAGCATCAGTATCAACATCAATTGGTAAACCGGTACTCGCTAATTCAACCAGTACAATAAATTATAATGTTGATGATGAAACTAAAACTGTCTCACAATTATTTGATATAGCCTGGAAAATCCAGAATAATTTACAAGATTCTAATATTGATACAACGTCTGATGATTATGCAACAAAGCTGTCAGAAGAAATACGTCTGTTAAAATTATTAGAAGAACGTATACAAGCACTCGATTTGTTCAGTAAGAATGAACATTATGATGAAGTGACAACAAATAATATTCGTTATTTTTTAATCTATGCATTTCTTGGATGGTTATATCAAACAAAACGTTCGAAACCATCGGCTCGTATTATCAATGTTCAACAAGCATGTGATTATTATAAAAAATTTCTCACAATAACAAAACAATATTTCTTACACCAACATCAAATACCCGAACCACTTTCAACCGATGGTGATCAAATTGATTTAAATTCACCAGGTGATTTAGCAAAAGGAAATCGGAATATGACAAAAATGGCACAAGATCGAGCAAGCAAAATACGCGGGTAAAACAAAATTATTAATGTGTTAATCATGTTAAAAATAGTGGAATTTACATCGACTTTTATTTACTAATATTATTTTGCTTTTTTATATAGACATATGAAACGTCGAGAAGATGAAGAGGCAATGTATGCGTATGAAGAAGCAATGAAACGTGATACAACAGATGAGGAAGCAAAACGAAATTTTTATCTTAGTAAAGTTCGTTGGTGGATAAATGTAGCAATTGACGATATTGATTGTTTATATGGTACATATTTTATTTAAAATAAATAAAACTTTTCGTCATGTTGTTATTCTGATATATTTAGAAGAATTAAAACTTCTTCAACAACGTGCACTATTAACCGATGATAATGAAATTTTACATCGTCCACAAAAAACTACTAATCCATTGAAAACCATGATTTTAACACGTGATCAATTACAATCAAAAGTATTTGGAGCTGGCTATCCGAGTATATCGACAATGACTGTAAATGAATTTTATCAAAATTTAACTAAACAAGGATTTATGCCAACTGAAGAAGAACAGAAAGCGTTGAAAAATGGTATGAAAGTTTTACAAGGTTTGACTGCATTTGTTTTATTATTCTCATTGTTTTTGTTTTTATTTCAGCACCTATGACGTTTCCAACAGCAAGCGACATGGAAAAAGAAACAATTGCTAAAGAAGAATATGTTGAGAAAGACGATCCAAATATGATTCGATATTTACGTTCGAAAGACGAATTTAAAGAGGAACATTTACGTGGTGAAGGAAATCGAAAGAATCGTTCATAGATAAATGTCTGATATTTTTTGTTCGCTGTATATAAACGTCAAGAAGATATTTTTTATTTTATGTCACTCTTTTTTTTTAAACAAAGATCAAACATTTTCTTTTACGTAGAATGTTGAAGTATTTATTTTAATCATTTTTAATCTGGAAGTTCCCAAATAATTATTCCCAAGTTTAAGTTAAGTTCCCAAATTTTATTTTCTGATTAATCGTAGAATGCAGACCTCCGATTCGCATAGAAAAGAGAAAAATAGAGTTTGTCATTAATACTTGTCCTATTCCAGATTTACAAACAGTAAATATCATGTTATTTTATTCATTTTTCAAATCATTAGTTGGAAAAGATGTTGTTGTTGAATTAAAAAATGATTTAAGCATAGGTAAGTTTAGAAAATGCTGTTCATTGAACTTCAATTATTCTATAATTTCTGTTCGTCCTAGCTGGTACTCTTCACTCTGTTGATCAATATTTAAACGTCAAATTAACAGAAGTTCAAGTATTAGATCCCGAAAAGTATCCTCATATACAATCTGTTAAACATTGTTTTATACGTGGCTCAGTTATTCGTTATATACAATTGCCTCCAGATGATGTTGACACACAATTATTGCAAGAAGCAACTCGTAAAGAAGTAACGCAAGGAAGAAAGGAATAAGAATATACATGATCATATACAAACCACGAAGCTTTTTTTCATCAATATGTGTGTATGTAAATACATTCTGAGTTCTCTGTTTGTTTGTTTAAAGTAAAAATAAATGTTAAAGATAGACTATGAAGAATTTTTTTGATTGTTCTTTAATGGAAATATATTAAGATTTAGTTAAGATAAAATTTTTAACTTGTGTCCCATAATACTCGTATAGTAGAGACAAATACTTCTTCAACTTTCGTTTTCCTGCCATCTGAGCTTAAATAAACGAAAAAAATGTATCGGTTTATATTTGCTTTTTAATCACAGATACTAAATTAATCGGTTATGACTTTATTTATTGATGCGTGAAGTGAGGCAATGATAGACTTGCAATCTATAATATCTTTTTGTGAAGAAAAGAAACAATTCATTTTTACTCTGTACATATTCAGTATTCACCTTTAAACTGAGGAAATAGTAAATTTGGACTTGGTTTGAACTCGGTAAGTCTTATTTTCATCGAATCATCTCTTGCATCTCAGAGTAAATTTTATATGTAGGACATTCAAAAGATTCTCGAACTGATTTTATTTTAAAAAAGTAAAAAGCTTTACAGTGTTGTGCGTGTTGCCCATTTATACGTCATACCCCAATCATGTGTTCGAGAGATACTCCGAGTGCTCGAAAATGTTTTCGATGAGCCCGCGCCGAGGGCCTATTTTCGAGTACTCGCCGCATCCCTCGAACGACTTTTTTCATCTGCATAGGGCAGTCGTCTATCCATAGACATTACGAGCTTTGATGCTAGAGTACTTTACATTTTTGTGCTAGAATAACATTTTTTTTAGATCAAATTGGAACAAGTGGTGCTGATTAAATAACACAGTATTTTGTTCATACATGTTTTTCTTTCATTCCCAAGAACCAATCTTTTTCTGCAAAAGATGCGTTTTGAAATTATCTACAAAAAATATATGAGAGTATTCAATATTATTTAGAGTATTCAAGTTTTCTTTTACAGTACTTGAGCAGATATCAAGATACATTTTGTAGAAAAAGGCTCAATATGTTTTTTGTAGAGAATTTCAAGATGTATCTTTTGCAAAAAAGATTAATTCTTGCTATCACAAAGCTTTTTGTTTTTTTAAAAGAAAACAGTTCAGGAACTTTTTGAACACGCTAAAAAGTATATTCGTTTTTCTTACTTGAGTGTCTGTTTCTTTCCCGATTGATGCTGATCTTTCATATCCTTATTTCATACAAAAAGGGAAAAGACATAGATAGCATTGTTAACTTATCGCAGAAATACTGCACTCATGTTTTAGAATTATTTTGAAAATGTTTTCTATTCAGAAATATTCCAGTCATACAAAAACAGCAAAAAAAAAACACATTAAACGTCCATGATAGAAAACATTATTATTTTACTAAAATAATTTTCTCTTTCAAATCATTTGTTTGTTTTTTTATAAATTATAAATAGATACTTTTTCTTCGTACTAACTTTATTTATTTCCAAACGTTTCGATTGATAGAGTATAGTCTTCCTCAGTGGATACAAACATTAATTAAATTAATTAAAATTACATACACAAATTTGAACAGAAAAACTTTTTTACATACGGACATTTTCCCCCTTTATATTATTATAATATAGTCGATAATAAAAAAAACTGTAGCCTGACAAGTATCTTTAACTTAATACTTTTATTTTTTGTTTTGCATGTTAGTTATTTTTTATAGCAATGTTGGCCTCTACTTCAACGAGTTTACGTTGTTTTCCTGTGCGATATGGTCCTGGTACAGAAATCATTTCCGCGGTGCATAGACTAATGGAAGCAAATCATTTGAAAGCCACATTTATTATGTCGTGTGTTGGTAGTGTTCGCTCCGCTACAGTGAGATTCGCTGCAACACATGATCATACAACACTAACGACACCTCATGAAATAGTATCCTTAGTAGGCACATTCGATGAAAAAACGCATCATATCCATGGAAGTTTTTCCGATAGCAAAGGCAATGTAATTGGTGGACACATATTGGGCGAAACTTTAATTGTTTTTACAACAGTTGAGTTAATGTTGGCGGAATGCGAGGATGTTACATTTTCAAGAGAACACGATCCAGAATCAGGCTATGTTGAACTTGTGATTAAGAAGAAAAATATAGTCGACGAATTATCGTGATTATTGACCGATTATATTAACTCTATATTAAATTTAGCAACTATTTATTTCATGTTTATGTTCTGCTTAATCATATTATTGTGAATTTAGGCTTGCTCTATGATTATTTCGGTTAGTAGCTTCTGAAGCTGTTTTTTTGTCTGAAGGATATTTTTTTGTTAACTCTTGATGTAGAGAGAAGAATTGTAAAAATTTCATCTTCTGATAGAACAATATATGTAAACTTTTTTATTTTTCATAAACTATGATAAATAGTCATAGTGTTTAACTTTAAACCAAATGAAATGCTCATTTATAATGTTTACTACAATGAACTGAATTTAACCGTAAAATCATCATTAAAAAAAAAAGTAAGGGTATTGGGAGAACAATTAGGAAATTTATTTTTAATCTATAAGATTCAACGTAATTTTTAAAAGGATCGTTGTTTGAAAACTAGAATATATAGAAAAAGATGAATTAGTAATATATTTGTTTTTAATCACAGTCAAATGATGAATTCAATGTGTTTTGACTTTGATCGATGAATAATGTATATATCGAACTTAACGCGAATGTACTAATCTTTCTAAGATTATCACGTCCTCACTCTGAGTACTTTATCAAAGTGTTGAGATTGTTTTTTTGCTGAAGAAAAACCTTCCTAACGTCGATAATTCTGTCTTATGACCGCTTTTGAAAAGTCTCAAATATTTTACTATAATAATTATAATAATAAAAAAGATGTGAGAGCGTTTTATCTCTGTTGTTAGTGCTTTCTATATTTAATTGGTCAAAAAGTCAATATTCATTAATTATTGATAAAGCAGTATTAGTTTGCTTGGCATATATTTCACTTTCATGAATGATTTGAAAAAATCTAACTATCGATGGCTATGCATAGTTTTTAGAATCCTAAAATATTTTATTTTCCTCAAAATTGCAAAATTATCTTTTAATAATATTTTTTAGATTGAAAAACGGTGCCATGACTGACAATACACCCACTATATTACAATCCAACATAAACTTACAATTTTCGGTACGGTTTGTTTCATAAGAATGTTTCAGCGTCTTTGATAACGTCTTTTTCAACTATGTACTAGCAATGCCGAATTCGACTGAATGGAAGAACTAAGCGTTCTTTTTCTATTAAATATAGTTTAAACCAACGTCTTTGATTTAGGATAGTTTAATTTTCTTCGCATTATGCAATTAAGAAAATTATAGAAAATAAAGTTATGATGAACGAAAAATCTTTCTAAACTCATTATACACTGAGAACTTAGCTAAGAAAAGTCGAAAATGACAATTTGATAAATCAGGGGACACTATTTCTATGTATGTTCTTTCTTTTTATATTTTTAGCCAAATTCACATGCGTCGGTAGAAAATGATACACCACCATCACGTTCGTCAATAACTGATACTCCATCTCATTTAACTTCAAATTTCATAGCAACAATTTCACAACAATATATGCCATCACCACGTAATCTTCGTAATCCATCACCGCCAAAAGAAAGTCAAGACGATTTACCTCGAGATGATATGATTGGTGATACTATGTATTCAAAATCATGGTTATGCAAAGTTTTATTAAAACTAATCGAAGTAAATCATTTTGAATGTTATTTAAAGACAATTTTAAAATAATTATCTATTTATTTTTAGCTTGTATCACCTCAATCTCATGAATCATTTATTAATCATATTCGTCATCATAGTACATTACAGAAATCAGCATCAATTAAACAATATCTTAATTCTCCATTATCGACATCTGAATCACCAACAACTTCAACATTATCAAAACGAACAAATAGTCCATCAAATATTGTTGCTGAATCATCATCAACTAGTTCACCAATTGTATTAGAATTAGAAGAGATATTTGAAAATGAATTATGTGAATTATGGGATATTTCAGTGAATCGTGATGTTGTTCAATTATTATATGATTTTAATTCATTAGAATTATTTCTTCTTGTCTTATTAGAATGTAAATATCAACGATGTATAGAAATAGTTATTGGTATTATTGGAAATATGGCATGTTCAAAAGGAGATGATGATACTGTTGATAATAATATTTCATTAAAAATTGTTCAACATGAAACATTAATACAAACATTAATTAATCTATTATCTATTGAAGATTGTCCAACATTAATTCAATTATTTCGTTTATTTTATACATTGTTACTTCGTTTAGATACTCGATCATTTATGTATGAACATATTAAATCAAATTCAGCAATTTGTTATGAATGTTTTTGTTTCATATTACAATCTTGTTTAAATTCTCAATTATTATATCATTGTTCATGTGTTCTATTAATACTATTAGACGAATGTGAAATGTTTGAACATGAAGGTATTAATAATACCGATGAAACATCTCGTTTACTATTAGATTCATTATGTAATGCAATAAATACAATAATTGAACAAAATGAGGGTGTTATAAATACAACAGTTAAAAATGAAACATTAGAACATTTATTTAATTGTTTACAAATTTATACAACTTATTTAAATTTAAGTATTTTATTAGCTGAATATAAAGATACAATAATGAAATTAGTTAAAATTATTTTAGAACGTTTAGCAAATGATGATGTTGTACAAATTAAATCATTACTATTATTATCATGTTTATCTATACTTAAATATTATTTACAAGAATATGGTTTGATAATATTAGACAAAAAATTATTTGACGCCCTTTTAATTATTGTTAACACATTTTATCAAGAAAAAAAACATAAACAACGTCAATTATCAAAAGATTATCGACGACAACGATCAAGAACATCATCAAAATCAGCAACAAATGAATTATCACATTCTACTCATCGTAGTAAACATCGACATGATCAAAATGAAGGCTTAGAACAGAAAAATAACAATACTATTAGCGATGAATTCTTAGCAACAACATGTAAGTTTTTTTTTAAAGAAATACAATGTTAAAATAACAACTATTTCTTTTTCTTTAGCAAAACAATCGAACGAATTATCATCAGTTATTTCAACTACTCACTCAGTACCACCACTACCAGCGGCAGCAGCAGCAACAGCAGCAAACGCGTCTATGTGTGTTGATTGGGAAGAAGACGACGATGAGCATGCAGAATTGTTACGTGATAATGACAACAGTTTAAATGGCAAACGTGATTATGATCCGCAGATGAGTGAAGAAAATGATTTACATCATACGGCATACGAAATTATTGATGAATTATTTTTGGATATATTTTATCGTGCAATCAAAAATCAATATCAAAATTCGATGGAAAATAATTTATTTAACATGTTGAATGTTGAACAACGACAATTATTTCGAAAAATTATTTTTAATTTTTGTAATATTGAAAAACGTTTAAATGACATATTGGATTTATAAAGTTTAGATCAGATGTTTATATTCGTATGCTACTGGAAACATATATTTTCGTCTGATCATGTTATTATTATTCTGTATTTTTTTTCAAAAAAAAAAAAAGTTAAAAAACAAAAAAAACTACAGATGAATGTAGAGTGAGAACATTATTTAACATTCTTCCAAATTGTTTACATTATTATTGCAAGAGTTAAACTAACTGAATTGTAAGAATTCGATAAAAGTGTTTAAATATTCTATTTTTTTTTTTGTTACTATCGAAAGATATTACGGATTAAACAAAACATTTATTCTGTACTCTAAACATGATTATTTTTTGCCATTCGATGGTATAATAGAAAATCGATGCTGTTCCATTGGATATATAGAAATATATTTGTATTTAATATCCGTGTCAAAAAAAAAAGTTGTGATTATAAGATGGATTTTACACATGTCGTTATTGAATGACAAGTTCATCTAAGTGAGTAAATCTATTTGAAAACGTAATATGTTTTCTACAACAGTAATGAAAAAATTATAATGTCGATAATAGTGGTGAGTCATAAATATTGATGCTTTTTTATGTTTAATGATGTTTCGATAATTGACCAAACCATATTTTGATGAAATATACATTTTTCAGAAGTTATTTGTAATGATAAGCACGAATTCGGTGTTATGTAGATCCATGGAGATTTTTGCTACCGATCGTCACAAATTTATTTTATTCGGTAGGTCTAAACATTTTTTATACATATGAGTGAATTGCATAGCCATTGTACCGTTGTTGTTCCGTATATGTTCTGGTCATAAAATCTGTTCTACACGATAGATTTTCAAATTTTTTTTCGAATGTTTTTTTTTTGAGTTGGTTATTCACTTCTGACAATATAAGGTTTTTACCTCATTTGGCTGCTGAGATATGTTTTTAATAACCTGGAAAATCTCAAATTTTGAACTCACCTCTCGAAATAAAAAAAGTTTTTGCTGGTTAGTTTCTTGACGTGACTTGTAGCGTTAGGTTTTCGAATACTTTGAATTAAAATCAGAACAACTTTTGCCGCCAAAAGATCATGAATAGTTTCACTAAAGATACTTTGTTTTTTTGTCCACCCTATGAGAAATCGGTATTGAGAAAAGGAATGAGCGATGTTTTTTTAAAAAGGACCATTTTCATACACTTTGTCCACGGACATTTTGAATTTTGGTTTGCTTGTATCTCCCGTCTAAATCAACCTTTTGGTGGGAAATGTTTATCATATTTTGTACTCTTATAGTTCAGCTATTGCTGAAAGAACGAGCTTCAAAAGTCTTATTGTTTAACAGAAAAGCGAAAAATACAACAAATGTCCACTGACATTTTTGTCGAAAATCTCGTCCATTGACATTAAAACGACCGTAACTCTGTCTAGACTTGATAAAATCTCAGTTTATTATATAACAGTCGATTCGCCTTTGGAAGGAACATCTAACTGCCAACTTAGTTTTGTAAGAACACACGCTAATCTAGGTCTAACAGATCTCGAGAACCTTCATAAATCGAGTCTAAAGTATTTCTAATTTGTTATCTTGTAGAACTACTCAAAAAAACATTCTCTGTCATTCGATTCAGCTCGTCAAGTTCTGTTAGCTGGTATATTACACGATTTTTTCTGTTTTTTTTTATAATTGTTTTGGATCAATTAAACTTTAATTGAGGTTACGTATCGACATGATCAGATAACTCTACTACCGGAGTGAAATTCTGTGACGATTTTTTGGCATGTTGTTTCTCTTATAATTTTTGAATCGAGAAGCCCAGTACTTTACGATGTCTTAGATTAAAGAGAAAAGTATACTAAAGATTTTGAGACATTTCTCCAGTCTACACGTTCTTTCGTTCAAAAGCTATGACAAAAACACAAATATCTACTTCTTGAAAGTTGTCCGAAAAAATAGGTGTTTATGTTTTCGTCAGTGGCAGTTGGGAAAGTATTGTTTTTATACACAGTCGGCAACGCTCTATCAGATGTACGACTCAGATTTTTTTAGATTAAACTTTTTTTGTGGCCAAATGGCGCTGCAATTCATTCATATAAATATCAGAATCCATGATCAGCATCCAACATAGCTAGTAAAAATGTCTGTTTATTTCATAAAAAAATGGTTTAAGCACCTAGGATGATACACTCGTGAACAAAATATCGAAAATTAACAATATATTACAATCGACATAGGCTGTTCAACATAATCCGGAAAATTTTAGACATGTTAACGAATCTGTTTCGAATACACTCTGTCCAGTTTATAGAATGCTAAATTGTCGATTGTCTTGCTTTCTGATACCTGAAAACATATTGCTTATGCTAGGCATGATCATTTTGGGATACAATTAATCCCAGAGATGATGATAAAGAATTGAAATTATTGATAAATTATTGTCGCTTTAGCTTAGAAATTCTTCTTATATCACTCACTTTTACTGGTACACAATTTACAATCATTATCCATTGCACTGTAAAAAAAAACAAGTGCTCCGGGACACTTGTTTTTTTTTTACAGTATGCGTGTTACAATTCCATGCGATTTATCGTTGTTTTATTTAATCAAAAGCATTTAGTGCCTACATTGAAAAAAGTTAAATCATTATGCATAGAAACGCGGATGATTTCAGTAGATATTGAAACGGCGTTTACTAAACAATGGACACAATCATTTTCCAGACTGAAGTTTAACTATTTGAAGTTAGGCCATGATATGCTGTTTGATTTTGAATTGCTGGTCATTTTAAATAGATAATTTTTAAATAGCTGTTTAAATCTCATTCCAAGTGTTTTTATAGTCAGTAAAATGTGATAACACGTTTTTACAAATATTCATAAACTTTAAGTGAAAAATACAGCTATATGCTGCTATTTATTAATCAAAAAAGTTTGTCATTGTTGACCGTCAACAGGAATATTAACTAAAAAACTAAAAGAGAACAAATTTCGGGAGAAGAGGAACTTTTCTTTTACAAAGAGGTACGAGACAAGACCAGTTATTTGTCATTTTCAGAATTGACATAAAAATTGAGTCGAATTTTTGGCAACTTCGATTTTTAGGTGAGAGTTTTGTTGTTCTCTTTGAATAAGTTCGAAGAAATTCAGGTATCCAAAAATTGCGAAAAAGCATTTGCGAAATTATTTCAGACATTATAAGAACCAAAGTCAGTTTTCCATGCTATATCAGAAAAAAATAGCAATTTGTGCATCAAATATTTGCTGAATGTTTTGTTGCCAATTTATTTTTATCTTATTTATCATCATCTAAATTAAAAGAAGAAAATAAAATTTTAGATGTTCAAACATATCACATTTTAAAATCATCAAATGAGCAAATTTTTCTGTATATAGAAACACAAAGAGGATAGTAGAAGAATGAAAAGCTACAGCGCAAAAAGTTGCGTCTAGTGATGTGCCTTTGAAGATGATCTGAAAAAAAAAACGTTGTTGGAGACTGTAACACTGAAGAGGACCGTTATGTGTTCAAACCGGTCGTAGGACGGTACGATCATATGACAGAAAGAATGAGTATTTTTTCTTCCTTCTTTCGCTTGTATATATATATATGACCTTGAGTGTAGATTAGTTTGGGTGGTAATCGGTGATTAATATAATTCCTTCCAGCCTTATTTGTGTTTTTGGCGTTTATATATAAGGAAGTATCATCGGTGAATAAGTATTGCAAGCTTAGTGATAAATCTCATAGAACCACCAATGTTTGTCGTGCGATTGTTTAAAGTGTATTGTAAGTATAATGGAGTTTGTGAACAAAAATTTATACAATGGAATGAAAAAAAAGAAAATTTTTTTTACACAATTTAATCTATATTTGTAGCAACTAAAACACATCGATCATGTTCTCCTAAATTCGATAAGCGTGTTTCATCATATTTTGAATAGATAACTTCATTATAAATTTGAAATCCTAATTTACGAAATGCTTTTGATGAATATAAACTTGTCGCTTCGGAAAATGCTGCCTTGATTCCCAATTGTTTTGCTCGTTCTAAACTTGAATGAATTAATTTTTCCGTTAATCTTAAACCACGATAATTTTCATCAATTGTAACAACAATTATATGCAACAAATGATCAGTATCAAACGTTTGAAAGAGGTCAACATTACCATGAACACATTTTAATACTTTCAATATATAACGTAGCTTTTCTGATTTAAACTGTGACACATCCCACGGATTTGTTTCATCATTTTTTGATTTAATAATGTTTAATATAACCGCGACAACTTTTTGAGTAACTGTATCGATAGCAACATAAGAACATTTGTCTTGAAGTGCTGTTTTAATGGCCAAACTTGTAAATTCAACTGGTTCATCTGGTAATTCAAAACATAAACATTTGTTCAATGGTTCATCGCGAAAAAATGAACCAGAAATTAGAGAAAATACTTCGTCTGTATGTTCTTTGTCCATGAGAGATAAATCCATTTGCGGCACAGGAAATACTTTTGACCAGGGTGTACCAGGAGATGATGAATCGGACGTAGTTGATACCGTTCGATCATCATATGTTAAATAGGGCTTGTTTATATGTTTTAATAACACGTTATTGTACATGCTTGATGGATAGATTATCTGGAAAAAGAAAAATTTTATTAAAAAATTACAAGTTAACGCTTATTTATTAATAAAATAACTCATGATAACAAGCTGAAATCTGAATACATCGATCATTTAGTCTTACATTTTCTGCTATAGCCTCAAAGCGTTTCATTCACTTAACTAGAATAAACCTGTTGAAAAACTTATACGTCGTTTCTCTGACGTTTCTTCTTTATAAATCTATATTCTCTAATGAAATGTTTTTGAGTACAAGTGGTTTCCATTTTTTTTTCACATATTTCATATCATGCAACGAGAGAATAATGAACTCTTCTAATAAAAAAGAGGAAGAAAAATTATTTGTTTGGTGTGGATCAGTACAGAAAAGAACTGAAGTCAATCAAGTTTTTGTTAAAAAATATGGTTTATCAGAGTCTATTTACAAAAATCGAGGTGCCAAAGAATAGAAGGGTCGTAATAGAAGAAAAATAAACTAGTTCATGACAGACAGAATAAGAGAAAAAAGAAGAAGAAAACCTTTTGGGATGAGTAGAGACGAGATTGAATTTTTCTTGATGCTTCTATTGTTTTTCTTACTAAAAAACTTTGTTAGAGGAAGAAAATTAAGAATCTAGTTTATTCTTTGTTCTAATTTAACTGTGAGCTATGGACGAAAGCCTAGATAAAATCTTATTCATGATAGACGAGGAAAATATATGACTCCGAAAAAATGTCGAATTGATCCTGGTTACAAAACTTTTTAAGGACACAAGTGATCCCGGAAAAATCGGGATCAATTGTGCATGAATTATATGTAAATATACAGAATTGATCTTTTTGGAAATTAATAAGAAAACTCGTTTAGGTGTTGTTCAGATTAAATTTTATGGGTTGACATAATTCCCTTCGTTAAACACATTCAGACTCGCCAGATATTTCATTTTCGACGTGTTCAAATACATTTTAGATATCAAAAATATTTACGTGTTATATAACTGAATAAACAAAGGATCTCTTTCGTAGCAAAAAATTAACGTTTTTGTTGAATTTGAATTTTTCAAGGAAATTGGAAGAAAATCTCTCGTAAAAAGATCAACATTTTTTACTAATGAATAATACAGATTGGATCTATTTTTTGAAAATTTTTCATAATTTGCACAGTAAACAAAATGATTTAATTTATTATACAAAAATAAGCTGAAATGACGAATTTTGAGACTTAACTGAAATAAGTGGTCTCTCACCTCTCTAAAACTCATCTGTTCAGGAGCCAGAAGCATTTCCTTTACAATAAATGTTAGGAAATCGAGACTTATAATTATTTTGCTTTTTAATTTTTCTGTTTCTTTTCAAATATTTGTATAGGAACAAAATGTGTTCGTTTATCGGAAATACACATTTTTATCGTTAACATTCTTTTAAAAGAAGGAAAGTATCCAATTAAACTACGAAGTTAGATTTGCTTTCGTTGTTTAAAGGAAGCAATAACTTCAGCAAAGAGAAAAATTGATCAGTTTTCCTGTTTTCAAAAGGGAAACTAGGTTCTATAAAATAGACATATAGTAGAATATTATTCTCCAGGTGCTTTGACAAAGTGTCATACGAGTAATTGAAATATCATAAATTACTGGATTTATAATTGGAGAAATTGTCTTTCAAACTCTGTTATGACACGCCTCTAATGAGATATCAAAAGTATAAGATTTTCTGAAGAAAATAATCAACTATTTTTTTCAAACTAGAGTAAATTAATAGTCTAGAGAATACACCGAAGCTTTTAGTAAGAAGAACACCAGAAGCATCAAGAAAAATTCAATCTCGTCTCTACTCATCCCAAAAGGTTTTCTTCTTCTTTTTTCTCTTATTCTGTCATGAACAAGTTTATTTTTTTTCTATTGCGCCCCTTGTATTCTTTAATACCTCGATTTTTGTAAATAGACTCTGATAAACCATATTTTTTAACAAAAACTTGATTGACTTTAGTTCTTTTTTGTAGTGATTCTGCATTGTACTTATGCGTTTCAGTAGTACATCAATTCACAAAATAGTGTCTAAAACAGTGTCTAAAGATTTAAAGTTCACTACACATAAAACTTCTAGAGCATCGATTGTGTTCACTGTCACTGTTCACAGATCATACTCGGTTATTCTATTTTTACCTTTCACATTAATTTGTAATTAATCTTAGACAAGATGTTATTCCATGCTCTATCACTTAGCACAACCTTATCCACCATTGAACTATCCAGATTTTCCCTGTAATATAACCAGCAATACCGACAGTATGGTTAAGAAACAGCACAATCTGTGCGCTAGCACAATAACAAGGACGAAATATTGATTTACTAAGAAACATAACGAGTCTCATTATCGTTAGCACTCTTTTATATCAGTTTTGCTTCATTTCTTGGATCAGGTAACGATTGTCTCCTAACATTAGATATAGTTGGATTGAGGAGTCCGTGTTCGACACAGCTTTTATATTTGGCAGCAAAGTATTAGGATATGACATTCAATAAGCAAATTGCAGACAAGCGATTATATCACATGAATAGTCGATATAACCATAGGTAAAGATTTGCCGTGTTGAAATAGATAATCTGCTGAAACGATATTAACATCGTCACACCCGCTATTGACATTGAAATATACTGAGCGTGAATCAGAACGATGATAAATATAATTGGAAGACGATTTTCTACGAGATAATGTTTGGCACAATCCTTTTTTCATAAACTATGGAGAAAAAATTCTATATTTAAAACTCTTCTGAAACTTGAACCTTGAAAGAGAGTGGTACAAGTTTGCAATCACTGCTTTTGTTCCAAAACCAACTACTGTTGATTGTCAAAGCCCTGCTTTGTACCTTATCGATTTTCATCTTTTCGATTCTTACAAAAACGATTTTTTTCATGTTACACGCTTTTGTTCGTTAAACGAACAGAAATAACAAAAATCCGTTAGTGTATGTATACAGGGTAGGTTGAAAAGAAAAAATTAATCTGTTTGAACACTTCGAAAGCGTTAGGTACAAATATAACAAAACTTTTAAATAAAATATCAGGTTCGAATGAATTTCTAGATATTTAACAGTTGTTTTTTTTGCACTATTTTTTGCATCATTTCCACTTGAGCAAGTAATTGACGTTTGTCTTTGCTATTTTTCAATCCATTTTGTACAAACTTTTCACAAAATTCACTAAATTCCTGCAAACAGTAGAAACATGATATAGTGTCAATAGAACTTGTTATATAATCTAGTAGCATACATCATTAGCGTTATCACATTCCGATACTGGTGAAGCTTCTCCTTTTGGTTTTTTCGAACTTTTTTGAATTTCTTCTCTTCCGTCGCAATTTGTATCCAACCATTGTGTAATATTGGGTTTGGTGTCACTTCTGTCTCGAATATCACCTAGTACTCCATCCGCCCGTCCACCTACAAAACAAAAAAAGAAATCAGTTTTCTATGATGTTATTCTCTCTTATCAAATGTAAATCACCATAATAAATTGGAACATTGATTGAACAATAATCGTTTTCACAGCAAGCTTGTACACGATCGGTTTTCGAGCACTCATGATCCGGTATTTCTGCTTGAGCCGGTATAACTGTATATACTTTTCCATTAGTATATCGGAATGAAAACTGTAAATCGGTAAAATCATGTAATAAAACATAATCACAGACTGGATTCAAATAGATATAGTGACCGTGTAAGTCGATGCCATGGCCAGTTGCGGTTATGATAGCCACGCGTTCTGGTGTTAATGATGGATTACGTTGAGATAAACGTTTAGCAATACTTTTGATGAATTTTTTGTATGAAAGAAAAGTTTCACTTTGTGATTGAAAGAATTCAAATATAACAGCAGGAACAGTATCATTCATGCGTTTCCGATTAGATACTAAACTTAATACACTAGCAATGGATATTGGTAAACTATTGTATGTTCCTGGACGAATACCATATGGAACTGATACTTCAAAATGCGTTTCATTTATCATCAACTAAAATTTTAAAATAGTTACAATTGGTCAGAAATTGTCACAAATTAAGAACAATAGGATGAGAATTCAAACTTACTTTCGGTACGTATCGAGCAGCATTTCTTAGAAGATTTCTAAGTTGTTCTCGCCTGTCTCTCATTCTCCTAAATAATTTCAATATATTACTGGTGAACAATTTGGATGAATCGTTCAATCGTTTAAACATTTCATTCGATTCAAAATCCATAGCTAAAATAGAAAAAGAACAATGCATGAATTATCGTACTTTTTTCGTAGTGATTTTACCTGTGCTTATGTTCGTTGAATCAATATCGATAATTAATTGTCGAAACCATTTCATATCTTCATCTTTTGTAGCCTCATCAATTTGTTTAAATATTGTTTTCCATTGATCATTTGATCGTTGAATAACATCTTGAAATCCTTGTAGAAGATTTTGAACTATCTGTTCAATTCGTTGATCGACTTTTACTTCATCTACCATAGGCATAGTTCGATTTAATACACCTTCTAAATGTGTGGATAATCTTTCGACTAATTTATTACGCTCTTGATTTAATCTCGTGGATAAATTATACACTCGTTGAATAATGCCCAACGAGTGAATCATTTGTTTCAAACCTTCATGACATTCTTGATAACGTTCTCGTATCGCTTTCACAATATTATCACTAAATTCTTTATATGTAGAATATTTTTTAAAAAATTCTATTAATCCAACACTTTCACTAACAGAGAGAGACGAATAAAAAACGTAAATTGAAGTATAGTGGATCACAATGAAGTTACCTCAATCGCCGCAATACGCTTTTTTCTGATTCTTCATTCCAATCTTGTACAATTTGTTTCACAGCAGCATAATCTACTTGTATAATATCGCAAAGTGATTTGCGAATATCGCTTGTCAATTGTACGAGATTACTAGTTCGAACATCTTTAAATTCCTCGATAAAATAAGATCGAATTTGATTCTAAAAAATATAAATAATAAAGATATATAGAATGGTTTGTTGAGAATATTTTCTTGCAAATACTTACATGTAATTCTTTGGCTGTTATAACATTTCTACTACTGTTCGAATGAAAAAAGTACAATGCTCCCACTTTATGTGCATAATCTTGAACTAAACTCAAATCAGTTGTCAATGTTTTACTACCATTGATACTATGTCCAATTTCATTGATAAAACGTGTTTCAGCCCATTTTTTTGTACTCAATTGTATAAAATTATTATTTTTATTACTATATAATTGTATTGTATAACTTTCGGGAAATGATACATCATCATAATGTGTTTTCCAATGTTGTGAATTATACAGTGTTAATAATTGATTACCAAATTCTAAATTAAAACGTTTTTTAATTGTATCTAAACCTTTTCCATGGTGTGCACCAAATTTTTCTGTTGCTTGTGATAAACGTACGATAGTTACTGGTTCAACAATGACTTCGATTAGTGAACGATTGAATATTTTTGTTTGTGATTGTTGATCAATATCCAAATTGGGTATGTTACGATTATGTAAATTTGGTAAATAATGTTTTAGTGTTTTTCTGTCAAATGATATTGATAATAAATTATGTTGTTGTGGTTGTGTTTGGTGTAACAAAATCGTTGTTAAATTATTCCATGTTAATTTTAAATTAATATTTTTTGGTAAGAATTTAACTTGTATTTCTTCATTATTTACTCTTGTTCCTTCAACACGATAAACTTCTTTTCCTTTTTGTTTAACGGTGATTGTTGTTAATTTTTCTGATTGTTGTTGTAATAACCATGTATTTACAAAAGTATACAATGTCATATCGATCTGATTTGTTTTTGGATTTATCATAAATTTAAAACCCACTCGTTCATCTTCATACTTATTCAGATCGATATAAACGTTTAAAATTCGTTTAAGTTGATCATGATCAATTGTTAATTTTGTTCGTTCACCTATGCAATTGATATTCAACACTTTGTCATCTGGTTTTTCTACGGTACATATGTATGATTTTTCAGCATTTTTATCGTTGGTATTAAATGAATATTTCAGTGTACTATTGTAGAATATGTTAGTTTTACTTATTTGATCATATTTGATTGATATTGGATCATTATCTAGTACTTTACCTATTATTTTAATAGCCAATGGTTGTGAATCTGTTTGGGGTTGAACGGATAAATTAAAATCAATGGTATCTTCTTTTAATCGATTTAAATCCAATATTAGTGTATGTGGACCAAGATCTTTATCATGTTTCAAATCCAATTTCACTGTACCATCATAATTGACGATTATGACACTGTCTATTTTTGGATCATCAGGAAACATTAATCGTTTACGAATATCTCGAATTAACTGACTATTTGCTTTCAAATCAAATGTTGTCATTTGACAGATACCATAGATAACTTTTGCTGGATCTCGGGATGAACAACTGATCGATCTACTTGACCAGTCAATTAATTTTGTACCTTGAAAAATGAAAAAAAATAAATTTGAAAACTAGACATTAAAAATTATGACGTGACATACCGTTACGCTCTAAATCGAAATTTAACGTTGTTTGCTCGTCACCAGCACGTTTATCAATAATATCCGATTTAAAATCAAATTTAAAATTTATCAATTTTTCAGTGGTGTTTTTATCACTGACGTGTGTTTTGTGCGATATCATATTCCATGTTCCATCGTCCTTTATCGCTGAACCAATATAATGAAAATGTTTTCTATCATCAGCACGTAACATGTTTACATCAATGATTGTTTTAAATGTAAAGTCATCTGCTCTCCATTTTCCAGTATGAGAATGATCAAATTTCATGGTAATCAAATCTGGAACATTCATATTCCATTTCAACGAGGATTTAATCCAATTAATATCGAATGTACCTATTTTACCTTGTTGATCAATCGTCGATTTGACAACAACGTCACCCGAATAGCATTTTCTAGAGTCTTTTCTTTCGCCAGCACATGTTTTAGTTGTGATATTAGCAACAATTGTTTGTTGTATATCCGTTCGTTCGATATGGGCAATTAATTTATTATCATTATACGTCGTACCGATGTTGTATCTAAAAAACGATCTATTGGTATTATTTGGCATTTTAAATTCACCTTTAACACTAATTTCATGTTGTTTGACTAGAATATTTAATGATTTTTCAAATATTTGACCAAAGTAACGACCGTTTATTTTTGTTACTAGCTGACTAGTATCGAATGGTGAGTATTGTGCAGAAATCAAGGCGGTTACTGATGTATTGTCACCGATATTGACTGAACTGAGAATATTCAATGCTTTACTCCATGAGCCACTTGATTCCCAATCAAAACTAAATGATCGACCACGCTAAACAAGAAAAAAGAAAAAACAAGTTAGTTTTTAAGTATATCAAATGCTTCAGCCCATTTAACGCTTTTCATATGCGAACCGATATTGTAAGAGTAATTGTGACAGTATCACTTTTGTTTTTTTGTCTAAACTCTCTTAGCTCTATATCACTTTACCTGTAAAGACAATTCGAATGAAATTTTACCATCGACACTTGTATTTGATCTTAATGCACCTAATAAATCATATTTAAATTTTAGTGCTGCCTTATTCGTTAACGGTGTACCCAATTCGAAATGCACTCCAAATTCCTTTGGTAAGTTTAATTTTCCCACACGAGTTTGTTTATCGATTGTTAATTCACCAATCGCTGTTAAACCGTTTGATTTTGTTAACATTGGTGACTCAAGAGAGAGAGCAATGCGCTTTGTTTTCTTTGAAAACTCATATCCAATATCATGCGAAAATAAAAGATCGTCATTTTGTCTCAATTTACCACATGATCTTACGGTTGTCCATCGTTGAAATGCAAAATCAAAATGTTGTACATAATCATCGTCATTATGTTGATAAATGACAATATTATCAGCCATAACGTATGGTGATTTATTTGTTTCTCTCATAACACCAATGGTCAAATCATGTGAAAATAACGGCTGAGCATTTGTTTTTGATGTAAATCGATTTAATTGTCCTTGTGAATTTTGTTCAATTTGAATATTGTTTGATATTAGTGGTATACGTTCTATTGGCAATAGTAGCTCAGTATGTGATTCAAATAAACGTCGAGATGGATCAAAATTAATATCAACGTTTAAATCAATTTCTTTCAATGTATTATTCACTTTCCATGCAATAAATTTTTTAATATCAATATTTTTTTGTGATAAATAAAATATACCATTGATATCAAGATATTGAAAACCACTTGTTCGTTTTGTTGTTAATGTTAAATTAAAATCAGCTCCATTTGACTTGCTTGTTGATTTACGACGTCTCGTCACTATTTTATGTTGTTGTGGAGAACGATTTGGATATACTTCAAAATCTAATTGTAAACTATCTTTGTCCCAAGTTGTATTAATATCCGAATGAGTTATAAACAGTTTTGGGTTTGTGCATAGTAAAAATGTGTCTTGTGTTGTTATCTGATCTTTCTTTGAATTCCAATTAAGATTGGTTGAACTTGTACCGATAAATATATCACCCATTGTGACTTCATTCACTTTATAGACTAATTCAGCATCACGTTGTGTTTGTTTATTGACATATTTAAATGTGTAATTTAACGTTGGTTCATTAAAAAATTGACAATTAAAATGGGATAACACATTTAGATCAATTGGACATAGTGTATGTGGAAACAACTTGTTTGTATCAATCTCTACATGAATTTTATTATGAACTTCTAATTTGGGCAACTGAATACTATTATCGTTGTTTCCTGATTGTTTATCTATTTTATGATGATGATCAATCACAAAGCCTAACGTTTTTGATTTTGTTTTCAATTTGACTTTCAAATCGGCTTGAGGTGATACAAGGTGTTGATTTTGACTTGATGAAAGTCGTCGAACATAATCAAATTCTATTTGTTCAGTAATGAGTGGCTGACGTGTAAGCAATGTGAATTCTAATGCACTATTAATGGTAAAATTCTGATTGTCTAACGTACGTTTTATGTTACAATTTAAATCGTACACTTTTACAGGATGTTCGTTTTGTGGTAATCTCCATGAGAGATGTGATTGAATATCATGTTCACGTTGTATTTTGTCTTGTTTTGGTTTTCTACGATTATAAACAAAATCATAGCCGGATACACTACCATCAGTTTTCTTAAATTTAATTGTACGTTTTAATTCAATTCTTGTGAAATTTGTATTATTTTGTATATGAAATTTTCCCTCATAACTAATATCAGGTAAATTGAAACCACCACTCAAATGAAATAGTTTTGAGTCAGGTTTATAGAAGTCACCATCAACTAAAAGATAAATGAATTTATATATTAACGTCAAATAAAGATTCATAATGTTTACATGTAATACTGAATGTTTTTTTTTGATCAACTGTACTAAGTCTAATATCAGCCTTGATTTGTTGTTTTTTCGATATATTTAAATCCATTATTAATATTAATATTTCTTTTTTACTTTGATTATCGATCAATTTAACTTCCATTTTCAATTCATCGTTATCAGTAGTCAATGTTCCACTAGCATCCATGACTTCTTTATTTTTATCATCGTATACTTTTCCATTGAACTTATTTTCATTCTGTGTACCTAAAACATATCGATAAAAGCGTTAAATTTTTCATATTAAGTAATATTCTGCTATTTATACCCTTGATATGAAATAATTTCATTCCTGTTAAAACTTCAATATCAAAATTATTGTCAGTTTTCTTTGCAGAAATCCCCAGGCCAGGATATGTTGAGGCACCCACTTTTTCTAAACCAATTTCGTACTGTGGACTATCATCTTCATTTATACGCCAAGCTACTCGCCAAACTTTTATGGATGGATCTTTACGGATTTGAATCTTTAACAAAATACGGTGAACATGATTTAAGGGCATTTTTAAAACGTTACAAATGCATTCATACGTGAAACGGAAAAACAATATTTCCTAGGTTTATTGTTTTGAATGGATTTAATTTCAAACAAATATTCGCTCCAATAATACGATAAATGGTAGTTGGTAAACATAATGAATCGGATGGCGTGACGTGCGGATTACTAAGATGTTTGAGACCTTTTGATGTACGAACGGCATAATCAAAACTAATAGACAAAAATAGTCATTTGTCATATTAAAATCTCAAAACAAACCTACTCCGATGAAAGAAGTATCGATTCTGTATTAATAAGATTAAATTCTCTTAATCGACCATTTTTTGTTCTTTGATATTGATATTCAAACGGTATACTTGATAAACTGGCAAAATTCATCGTTTCACCAATAGTTGACCATGATATTGCGACTTCACGCTGACATGTTAGCGCGAAACTGAATCTAAATAAAATTCATGAAATTCTCTTTAATAAAACTCATTAAATTTGTATTAAAATAACTCACACTCCATTATTAGTTAATGCAAATTTACCAATATTATTTTTATCACGGTTATCTTGTAAATTAAATGACAAATTACCGAGAAATCCAATTTGACATGATTTATGAAGTGTCAGACCATTTGACGTACCAACGGCTGCACCAATTTCCAACGGTATTCGAAACAATGGTTTTTCACTAGCTAAATCTTTCATACTGTTCATTAACTGATTTTTTAAAAATGATTGTAAATTTGTTCTCAATGCATCCTGAACTTTATCTGTGATATCTCTGATACGTAAATCTGAACCAAAAAATTTTAAATACAAATGAACAGATGGATCAGGATCTTCATCTTGTTGATCACGATTCTGCGAAGAAATACCAATTGATATAATTTAGAATACTATATCGATATCTACCTCTTGGATAGTTTTCAAATTATCAGATAAATTATCTTTTGTTTTTTCTTTATCATCCGGATTTGAATTTTTCATTAATGGATCTAATTTTAAAAAATAATCAGCTAAATTCCAATCGAGATTTTCAATGATCACAGCAAAATCAATCCATGGTATACGAGATGTATCATGTTTAATACCATAGAAATAGATTTTTGTTGATATAAATGATGGTGCTATACGATTATTTTCAAATACAATTTGTAAATGAATTTTTATTATAAATTCACGTCCTACTGGTAAACTGAGTTCTATTTTACGTGATGTAAACGTGCCCATTTGTGAATATTGTTGACGTGGTGCATGTTGACGAAGGCGAGCAGCAATGCCACGTAATGGAGAAAGACGATCGATTGACGAATATTTCAATTTTGACCATATGAAACCATTCACCTATTGTATATAATTAATATATTAGTGAGAAAATTCATCTATGAAAAAAGTATTTTATAATATACCTGATTTAATGGTTCTTTTAGAATGGTAACTATTGTCTGTTCAAGTTTATCAGCAATATCCGGCGTTTCGTTTGGATTATAGAAAAATGACGTGAATAATGAATGAAATGACCAGATACGAACAGCATTAGTATTTGATTTATTTTGTAATTTTTTCGTTAATGTATCAATTAGATCGCGACTTATCATTGTTCCTTCGTTGTCATTCATATATTGAATATCAATATTTTTGATAACATTCAGTGCATGATATTGAATTTCTAATGGAAATTGATCATCCAAGCATTCTTTAACATGATTATCATAGACACCTAATTGTGTGTAGGCAGCTAATATTGATGTTATCACATTTGTATCACCCTGACCTGTATAGATAACAAATTTTGAAATTGCTCTTTGAAAATCCTTTACTTTCTAAAAATATGATAAGCAAGAATTCATAACTACATCTCCCATTATGATCATTACCTGAGTAGCATCTTTATTCCGACGATCGGCATAATGTTTGACAATTGTAGCTGCTGGTCCCACAAAGTCTTCCACTTGATTTGTATTCAAGTTTCTCGCACCCTGTATCATTTGATCAACTAAATCGGTTGATGGATTATCAATGTAATGTACAGCCAATGGATTATTGAATTTCAATGTTATTTGATTTAAATTTAACAACGATGCGGCTGGATCGTGAGCATATACTGTATTCATGAATGTTGATACTAGTTGTCTAAATTATAACACGAAACATATACAGAAAAATTTCACTAGCATCGAGATAATTTACTTTAGTTGGGAATTTTTTATAAATAAATTTAAATTATTTCTGTCCATTCGTCTTAATTCATTGGCTATTTCAAGAAAATGTGATGCCGCAAATTGATCCCAATCTTTAGAATTTAATAGACGTTGTATTTTTGATATTAATGTTTCAATCTTCTCATTTGTACGAGAGAATGTGGCACTCGGTACAAATTGTAACGTTTGAAGATTAACATTTTTCAGAGTATCTAGAACGAGAATTGCGCTCAGTTTAGTAAATAAATAGTTCGTCATTTACGATTGTAACTGACCGTTATCTATATTTACTATGCCACTTTGTAATGTCATTTCCTGTTTGATATAAACAACTTTTGAACTTTCCTCTTCATGATTCTTTCCCATCAGATCATCATATTTCAATAATTCATCGAATGAATCATTATCTTCATCATATGGATGATGAGCATTTTTGATAACTGTTTTACATTTAACTGCTTGAATTTGTTTCCTTTTATTCACTGATGTTTTGCAAATGTATCGTGTTTGAGACAGGAATAATTTATCGACCTATTCGAAACCAATAATATCAGTTCAGTACAAAAAGTATTCGTCTTCTCGTACTTACGAATGGTTCAAGAAGTGTTGTAAGAGCAGGATTTGCACTTAAATATAATTTATCCTTCGCACATGTTGATAATTGTTTATCTTTATTGATTTCTGTATTATCATCTTGTTTGTCGAAACTGTATCGCGTTGTACAAACACCATGGATATCTTCTTCTCGAACCTATATAAAAATCTAATTAATTGTGAGATTCATCATAAATAAAGATTTTTAAAACTTACAATACTAATACCATCAGCTACAACTGGTGATGTCACTTGTAATATACTCAAGATACCTTTAATAAAATTAATAATCTCAACTTTGGCTGATTGATCGGTTTCGAGTAAAACAATTAAACCATCTAACCAACGAAAGCGAACAATTGTATTTTCAACTTCTTTTTCATTATCTCCAATTAAAACTGATTCTTCGTTTTTATCGTACGATTCGGTGACTTGAACATTGCGAAGCTAAAAATCGTTAAATACGTTCTAACAGTCAGATGTATTAAGACTACTTTTTAAGTTAAGGATTCAATGAAACCTTAACTTTAAGGTCTCGTCAGAAATATCGATCAAGTTTTTTGAAAATACTGAAAAATAGAATATTCAAAGTCTAGTTTTCTCGCGATATTTATGCAATTAAACTATTTTTTACTTTTCAGCACTCACAATAGCGGAGAAATCTTTGTTGCACGAACACCCACTTTTTATATTCTTATTTCGAGAATAGCTCTGAAAAATCTCAATATTTTGGTTTCCAAAAACTTGAGTGTCATCCTTCTAGGATCAGACACATATTCTGCGAAATTTTTATCAAGATCGAATATTTTTAGACGAAAACTGGTTTCTGGTACGGGGACCCTTAAGAAAGTAGAAATTATAAGATAGTAGTTATTTACAGTTAACTGTTTGATTAAAGACATAGACGTTTATTTTAAACATGTGTGTAACATTATACTGTTTTTTCTCACCTGTACAACGTATTTGCAATCGCCTAACCCTTTGATATGTACATCGGCTGTCATTGAATTCTGAACCTCATTCTGACCACTAGCAACAGATAATTTCGATGATGTTGTATATTTGTAGATAAGTGATGAATCAGGTTCAATGAGATTGGCTATTGAAAAATATAATCAACTTTAAAGGACGAGAAACGGTTTCTGCAAGAAAATGACCCAATATGATTTCGAGTGAAAACGATTGAAAATGCTTCGTTTTTCACTTCTCTACGCTTCTGATTTTTAAAACCTTCTCCTGATCTTCTTGGAAAAAAATATTTCTTATATTTCTTCATAATATTTTCTTATTATTCTTATTTCTCTCAATTCTGCATTTTCTAAATACAAACTATTTCTAATCTCTGTTTGTGAAAGAAACTGTAATCGTTTTTATATATCACTATGGGTAAAAATCGAGATATCTATCCAGTATTTAGCCAATAAATCTATGACAGCAACTTTTATAAATAAAATATTGTAGTTCATTTTGAAGCCCAGAAAATTCTCTGTCTTCCTCTATATAAAACATTCCGGTTTTGAGCAGATGTGTGGAAGAAATGTTCTTTTAAAGCCTTCAGATAGGTAAAAATCATGATATCTGTCTAGTATTTTGAGAATTGTTCTATATGGACATATCTTTGAGAAGCTTATTTATAGCTCTCATTTTGAAGTCTGAAAAATTCTCTATCTTTCTATGTATGGGCTTTGGGCAAGGTCTTTGTAATCATACGAAAAATTTGAGGAAAAAGTGAATGGCTTTCGTTGAACTGGCGACGAAAATTGATAAGAAATATTTTTTTCAAGGAGATCAGGAGCAGTTTTTTGAAAGTCAGAAGTGTTGGAAAGTGAAAAACGAAGCATTTTCGATCGTTTCCACTCAAAATCATATTGGGCTCTTTTCTTTCCGAAACCATTTCTCGTCTTTTAGTTAATGTCTGAACTCGTTTTTAATGTATTGTCACTCGTATCTTACTCGACTAAGAACTTTATACATGTGCTTAATAGTAGAAAATGATTTAAAATTAAAATAAATTAACTTACCTGATGAACAAAGTGGATCTGTGACTGATGCACCATCTAATTGTAAAACTATACGCACCACAAGAAAAAACGATTACTCATTAAATGCTCAATTATTAATTATATTACTAAATTAATTACTTACAGAAAAATATCAATACAAAGTATAGACATATTGCTTGAGTTGTTACAAATTGCCTAATGTTCATCATATAACTGTATTAGAGTTCTATACTGTTGACTACAAATAAGTAAGAGGAAGATGATATATATACATCGAGTTCCCAGTGTTAGTATTAGTTTTTGAATATCGATCTGCGAAGAACTGAAAGTATGAGTATAATTAAAGATTAATAATAAAAAGATGAGAATAGTAAAATAGCTGTCAGTAGTTGGTTATCACTTTTTTCTCTCTGTCACTCTTGGCTACGCACATGGACATAGAACAAGATAAACACAATAAAAAAGAATAAAAAAGTTCGTTTATTTTCATTATCATTCTCAACATTTGCATGAATGGGATTCTTAAACATGAATAATATTTGTACAAAGAACACAACTAAATTCATTATTTTATTTAATAATATAGAAGTTTTCAACTTAGACTAGAATCATCATCAGCCACATAACTTCATGAGAAGAACGACGTATAAATGTTATCAGATAACAATAAGGTAATAAAAGATCCCACTCTTTATCCGTTAGTTTCATTTTTCGTCCATTCTCGTATTCCATCAATAATATTTTTAGATATTCTTCGTTAAAATTGTCACCAGT